GACCCACAGAGGCTGCCAGGACAGCAGGGAGAGTGCCCAGATGGGGCTGCCAGGGCAGAAGCCAAAAGGTGTCTGTCATTCACCATCAGCAGAGAAAGGAGCAGAAAGCAGAGAATACTGAAAACCCAGTGGGGTCTCGAATCAGTGACCGACCAGGTAGCCTCAAATTTTAAGGTCACTGGATTTTATTTTAATGGTTTTAGAAGCCATTAGAAAAACTAAAACACGATGCTAAAAACCATTGTTGAGGTTTTTCAAAAAATACCTCAACTGCCCCATTCTCCCCAGGTACAGAGGGAGGGGGCTATCGGGCAGCACTGTGAGGGGGCTTGGTCTCCTGCTCACGAGCTTTGTGGGATGGAGAAGGGAGGATGGAGTGATACCGGAGGAAGAAGAAAGAAAAAGAAGGCGGGGGGAGGATAAGAAATAAAAATTGGGAGAAATAAGACTAGGAGAAAAAATTTGTGGTTGATGTACGAAGTGAAGCAAGGAGGGAAGTGGAGGGAAATTAGGGTGAGAACAGGAAACACATGGGAGCTTTAAGAGGAATAAATTTTCATTTTTACCATTTAAAAAGCAATATTTACTTACTTTTAAAAAAAATAGACAATAACAGGAAAAAAAAGTCATAGTTCCACCACCCAAAGATCCTCACTAGTACCACATTGGTGTCTATATCTTTGAATCTCTTTTTAAGCCTAGAGGTTTGTTCTTTTTTTCTTTTTGTCTTTTTTTTTTTTAAAAAATTAAGTACTTATGATCATGTTCCTTTTTCTAACTGTACGTGACAACATACATACTTTTCTACGTTATTACAGACACAACACACTTAACTACATAGTATCCGAGACGTGACTGTGGGAAAACGTGATAGCGCTTTGAAGGGCTGGCTCTGGATGGAACTGTTTGAATCTCAGCTCCAGCTCCAACTCAGACAAATGCCTCTCTATGCCTCAGTTTCCTTATCTAAAAAAAAAGGCGGGCAGGGGGAGAGTAATGGCACCTGCTTCACAGGACTGTTATACCCTTTAAATGTGTTGACAAATGTAAAATGCTAAAAATGATACCTAGAACAGAGCAAACACAAAATATGTGTCCCCTACTCTTCATGTTCCTATTTCTGGTGTTGCCATTATAAATAACCTTTCTATCCTTCAATGAACATTCTTCGGTGCCCAGGGCTTCTCCATCTGTGGTCATTTCTTAAGATATTTGCTAGTTTAAATTATATAAACATTCTTAAAGAAAAATGATACATAAAGCCAAATTGCCTTTCAAAAGATTTTACCAATTTACTTCTAGCAGTATGGTATGAGAACATTTTTGGGGGAAAAAAGTAAAGTTGTGTGTTGGTAGCTACAAGTAGTCTTTAATTCTTTATTGATAATTCGTACCGTCTGTATAGCAAGAGTTTAAGACTGAGAGCCTGCCCTTGAAGGATTAAGTGAAATTGAAGCGTTTGGGGTCAGGAGCCAAGGAGACGGCCTTGGACAGTCACCTGCAGCCACCTTTGCAGTCAGAATCTATTAAAACTCTCTCTATAGCCACTTTGTTTTTATCGTCACATCCTCGAAAGTCAGATGAGCAGTTCAGAAAATCACTTGAGGCTGACAAAATGAGTTCCGATGTTCTTGTTTCTCCTTGTGTGCTTGACGAAGTTCACCCAGGCTTTGCAAGTCATGAATCCGGACCCGCTCTCTAAGGCTTTCATTTCTTACAGTTACTCTCTCCAATCCTGCACATCAGTCTCTCAGTGACTGGGGTGACAGGTTTTATCTTGTCCTGCAGACAGTTGACATAGCAGGAAGCTCACAATTGAAGGAAAATGTCCTAGTGAAGAACGGTCTTTGTCTCTCTAGCAACAAGCTCAAAGCCACGTATGGAAGAAGATCCCGCGAGATCTTATCCCTTAATTGGCAATCACAGGGGCTCAGTTTGGTGACCCATTGAAAGTGAAACATGGTTCTCGATTAAAATGAAGAGAGAGAAATGCATATTAAGTTTTCATTTGTTTGGAATAGGTTCGCTCAGAGTTGAAAATCAAAAAACATTTTAATTTTATTATGCATGCTCTAATTAGTAAAACAAGATAAAGTAATGGGAAACCTCAGTTTACCATGGCTCGCATTTTAATGGAAGTATCGTAACTGAAAAGAATATTCTATTCTGTAAAAATTAGTAAATTCAAAAGAGGAAAAATGTGTTAAATGAATTCTTGACTTCATAAGTTCTAATTTAAGTGTTCCCTATCCTTGTCAGCAAAAAGTTAAATATTCACAGTGATGGGATTAATGAATTTTTACTCAAGTGTCATTGGGTCTAATATTTGCAAAATATGAATTAGTGGAATCGAAATTAATGATGTATTGATGTGTTTAAAGATAAAGAAGAAATGTCCGAGTTACTATAAAGAGGGAAATAAATACTTGTCAAAGAAAACTGAGTGATATTTCAGAATTGGATTAGGCCACTGACCAAAAAGATATTTCCCAGAGGTTCAGACAGGGGAGGAGGAGAGAAAATTTCA